CCTCCTCCGCAGGTCCCAGCACCCACAGCCGGGGGGGGGGCTCTGTTCTTAGCCCCCCACCCTTTTCTCCACACCAAATGGGTCCTTGCCCATCTGCCTGCTTCTGTTCCAGGGGCTTCTGCTCTCTGTGTCCTGGGCCGTGCCCCTCACCTGGGACCCCCTCCCTTCTGTCCTTCAGGCTCCCCCACAACTCCTCCAGCCCCTCCTGGGCACACGCCTGGGTCCCGCTGCAGCTCAAGCCCCAACTGGCCAGGTGACGTCACCTCTGCGGGCCTGTTGTTGGCCGGATGCAAAATAAGGATGAACAGTCCCTTTGGGAGCTTTCGGAGAATTGAGTGAGATGGAGCCTTGAAACAGGACTCCCAGGAGGTGATGGCCACTAGGGTGGCTCCCCTGGGGTGCGGGGCTCTGAGCACTCGGGGTGCAGGCGCAGGGCGGGAGGAGAGGCCGCCTGGGAGGGGCAGCCCGCAGCCCTCAGGGCTTGGAGCGCGTGGGAGGTTCCTTCTGAGAGCAGATACTTCCCCCGGCGGTCACTCTCTGCCCTTGGCCAGGCCCTGACCCCGGAGCTGACCTCCCAGCTGGGCTGTCAGGAAAGAGCAGCGGCGGCCAGAAGCGGCTGTCGCAGCGTCATACCCGCTAACAAGATTACCCGTGTTTGCGCACATGCAGGCTGGTCACCAGGGAGCTACCCTGTCCCTCTGGCTTCTCCTCCAGCCTCAGTCCTGACCGGCTTCCGGGGCCAGACTCCCCGCCCTCCCCGACCCCTCCCTTCCCGCTCCAGCGGACCTCTCCTCCCTTCCCCACCCCAGGCCAGCCAGCCCTGCTCGCTCCTCCTCAGCTTCCCTTTCCCAACACCCGGAATTTGAAACAGGAAGTTCCCAGATCCCAGGGCCAAGAAGGTTAAATCCCAACAGTCTAGGTGCAAAGAATGCTTACACTCCTGAAGTGCTGGGCAGGGGGCAGGACCCGGAATCCTGACGCCACAGGAGGGCGAGACAGGAATTCCAGCCCTCCAGGGTCCTGGGATTACAGATTCCTGTGCATCTCGGTTCTAAGATGCAAGGATGCAGGACCTGAGAAATTCCGGAATCCTTCTGGCGACTTCCGTCCCAGCATCCCTCCCAGCCCCACCCCAGCCCCAGCTCATCCTTGGCTCTCCGGTCCCCTGCGTCCCCCGGGGCTCCCACAGACATGATGCAACCAGCTGAGAGGTGGGAGGCAGCAGGAGATGTAATTACAGCCTCTCCTGCCTCCATTCAGCAAGAAGCTCAGAGTTGGGGCCCAGGGGACCCTAATCCGATGTGAATAATGAAACACTTGCCAGACACATGCGCGGTCCCCCTCTGGGGAGGGGAGGCCCAGTGAGCTATCCATCTCCCTCCATCCAGATCCAGGGGTTCAGCCTCACTCTGGGGAGCAGAGGGTGCAGGGGGGCCGATGGATGTGTTCAGGAGGGGCTGGAGGGGTTGTGGGGGAGCCTGCAGGACAGAAGGGAGGGGATCCCAGGTGAGGGGCACCGCCCAGGTAAAGGCAGGGGAGGGACACCGAGCAGAAGCCCTGGGACAGTGGCAAGAGGCAGGTAGATGCCCAAAGACCCATCTGGGGTGGCGGAGAGGAGGTGGGTGAGGAGAGGGGAGGAGGTCTTGGGCCAACCAGGTAAAATAATTAACCAAACCCACAGCTCATCTGCATCTCCTCATTTTTCAACAGACATTTCCGCTTTCTCTCTCTCTCTTTTTAAAAAAATATATTTCTTTATTGATTTCAGAGAGGAAGGGAGAGGGAGAGAGAAACATCAATGATGAGAGAGAATCATTGATGGGCTGCCTCCTGCGCGCCCCCTACTGGGGATCAGCCCGGGCATGTGCCCTTGGCTGGAATGGAACCTGGGACCCTTTAGTCCGCAGGCCGACGCTCTGTCCACTGAGCCAAACTGGCTAGGGCTTCGCTTTCTCTTCATCCCACGGTAAGAAGCCCCTGACACAGGCTCCATGTCAAATAGCAACTGGACCTGGACCTCCTGGACCGAGAGACAAAAGGGCAGGGTGGGGACTTCATGATCCAGAAAGCCCCGGTCCCAGCTCACAGCCTGTGGTCCCCTGGGGGAGGGGGGGTATGTCTGAGGTCACCAGATCTTCCAGCTCCGAAGAAGCCGGAAATACGGAGTCTGAGGCAAGTACTCTATTTTTCAATTTGGCAATCAAGTCAAGAACATTTTATAGATTTTTTTTAAGAGAGAGAAGAAGGAAAAGGGAGACAGAACATCGATGTGAGAGCCAAACATCGATCGGCTGCCTCCTGTGTGCCTCCTACCGAGGATCAAGCCCCAAACCCGGGCATGTGCCATAACTGGGAATCGAACCTGCAACCTTTTGGTGCACTGGACAAGGCCCAACCAACGGAGCCACACAGGCCAGGGCAAGAACATTTAAAACATTATGTAGGCCAGCCCTAGCCGGTTTGGCTCAGTGGATAGAGCATCGATCTGTAGACTGACTGGTCCCAGGTTTGATTCCGGTCAAGGGCACATGCCCTCGTTGGGGGCTCGATTCCCCAGTGCGGGGCGTGCAGGAGGCAGCCGATCAATGATTCTCTCTCACCATTCATTGATGTTTCCATCTCTCTCTCGCCCTCTCCTTTCCTCTCTGAAATCAATAAAAA